GCTCTCTACAACAGAGATGGACATATCATAGCAGTCCTGTGAACATGGTAATATCTTGGTCTTGATTACAATGAAATTTATACCCCAACAGAATATAGTTCCATCGTTTCTGATTGTTGTTCCAAAAAATATGCCCTGCTGTCTATGCGTGATGTTTACTTCAAAAATTAGGAGAAATTGCATTCCACAAATCATTTTGACATTAAATAAACAATTTATTTTGTTCCTGAATCGTCTGTCGTATGATTATTCACCATGGTGGGTGTCGCAAGGTACGTCCAAGTGGCGGGTGGTCCCGATGTGGTTCGGCATTTTGGGGGGTGATGGATGAGGACTAGATGATTTGGAGTCACCAAAAGTTGTGATCGGCTGCCAGTTTTCCGTTTCGAATATGTCTTATCATCTGTTTAAAATGAAACATTTTATCTGCAAAACCAGAGCTGAGTTCAGGAGTGCAATTATGCACAAGTATTAGCACCCGTGACGCCCATCTTAACAAACGGTATCAATCAACAATAAATTCTCCAGTTGAGCTAAGTTAGATGATTCATCAGCTAAAGAAGACAGTTTTTTGTAATTTTGATGATTTCAGGGCTACCCGCAAAAGATCATTTACCTTTAAAAGTTATTAAAATAGAAAATCCAGAACTTTACAAAATTTTCTCATCTCTATAACTTGACATGGCTAAAGATTTCACATTAAGATGAGAAACAAAAAATGAAGTACTGGTAGACAGGTGGATGGGAAGAGGGCTTGAACCAAGTTATTATTCCACTGAGTATAAAATAAGGGTGCGAATGAAACAATTAAGTGATTACAAGATTACATCTAGGCTAAACCCGAAGCTGATGCATTTGAACCAAACTCACATTGAATTCAAAAGTTCATATACAAATGGAAAAGAATTGCCTTTTAAAAAGTAAAAGAAGTACATAAAAAAATAAATAAATAAATAAAACCCCAAATCAACAATTCACCACCGTCGCCTGCACCACTCTTTTCATCTTCTCTCTCAAAAACTTTCCCTTTCAAGTTTCAAGTCTCTGTCTCCAAGTAACAATTTCTTGCCAATTTACATCATATTCTCATGATTTTTTTACCACCATAAAGAATTACATGTCATATCATCATGTTTTTTCCACCCATTCTCTTCCTAATCTCATTTGTTACTAACCTCTCTCTCTCTCTCCTTTTTCATCTTATCCGATGTTCTCTCTCCTTTCTCCTCTTCTCTGTAACAGTTAC